TGATAAGGTTCCGTATGGGAGACTGATAGCAAAGGGAAGAGCTCATGAGATCCAAGAAAATTAAGCAAATTGGCTGAGTTGGCCAAATTGGCCAGTGGCAGAGACCTAGCAAATGAATTTCAATGCAGGGAAATGTGAGGTAGTGCATTTTGATAGAAGAAACTGAGAGAGACAATAGAGACTCAATGGTACAACATTGAGGGGAGTACAGGAGTAGAGGGATATTAGGGTTCATGCACAATCTGAAGTTGGCCAGGAAAGCTAAAATGTTGTTAAAAAGGCTTAAAGGATCATCGGCTTATAATTAGAGGCATAGAGTGTAAAAGCGAGGAAGTGATGCCACACCTCTACAAATCATTGGTCAGACCACACTTGGAGTATTGTGTTTAGTTCTGGGCAGCTTATTCAAGGAAGGATGTTAAAACCCTGGTGAGAGTTCAAAAGGAGATTTATTAGATTGATACCAGGAATGAAGGATTTTAGATACAAGGATAGATTAGAGAGATTGTGATTATTCTCTTTGGAGCAGAGAAGATTAGGTAGCCTTATTGGGGTGTTCAAAATATGAACAATTTTGACAGGATAAAGATATGTCACTAACTAGTTGGTCACAATTTCAAGACTGTCAGCAAGACACCTAGGAGTGAGATGAAGAGAAATTTCTTTACTGAGCGTGTTATTAAGAGTTGGAAAGCACTGCCTGGAAGAGTAGTGGAGATGGATTCTCTAGAAGGTTTCAAAAGAAAGCTGGATATATATTTGAAAGTGATGAATTTAGAGGGCTACAGAGTTGGGCTGGAGAGTGGGACTGGGTGGGTAGCTCTTTCGGGTGCTATTACATACATGATGGGTTGAATGGCCTCCTTATGTACTGTAAAATTCTATGAGTGGCAGGAAGCAGAGTGTGATGTTAAAAGATGTTTTTTCAACTAAAAGTCTATGTCCATGGAGGTCCCACAGGGGTCAGTGTTGATATTAGTTCATGTTAATACATGCAACTCAGCACTCACTGCTCACTAGTGTGAATCTCATCTCACTGTTGGTTGGAAAATGGGAATTTTTGCTTTCAAAGCTGTGAAGCTCCCTACTGCCAATCTCACTCAATTCTCCCAACTTTTTCATCAATTCCCACATTGTTTAGGGGCTGGGAGGATTCCATTCCAAGTATTAACTTCTACAACTCGAAAATGCAAATTCATTCCTGGACATTGATCTCAAACTGAGGACAGTATACAGGTAAAAATTGTAATAAGTCAAATGACATGGAAGCTGCCAACAAATTCACATTATGCAGAGCTTTGAAATAGCCAAAGAAGGCCCTATGTAATCTGATTTACCTACAAATGTGTTCATTGTAAAAAATGAGAACTCATTGACACAGTAATTATGTAAAAGATGTATTTTGTTTCAATTTGTTCATATCTTATAAAAGTATCATAAAGAAGTAAAAGACGTTGAAAAATGTTTAGAGTCAGTTCTGACAAAACTTACTGCTTAACGTGCTCTCCTTGGATGAGTGCTCTACAGTCCACCATGTCATCAATATTTCCATGTTTTTGTGCTGCTTGCAAAATCCTAGAACATTTCTATCACTTCTTTGGCTCAGCTGGTGAAACAGGCAGGTGACTGGATGGGATTCATTGGACCCTTCAAGCTCCTCAGGATCTTTGGCTGAAGAACCTACTGCACTTATGATTGCCTCATTTGTCATTTCCGTTGTGCAACATACAGTGTTGCAAAAACAGCCTCGTCATCAGGTCAGTTGGCATCAACCTGCTGCTCAGCATCTTGAGCAGTCATAGCCTGCTTGAACCCTGTGTGGCTGGAACACCTTCCATTTTCCACATTTTCATCACTATAAGACGGAAATGTTCTCTGCCTCAGCTGCCTTTGAACCATGTTAGCACAGCTTCTTCAATAACAGGCTGTTCTCAGCTTCTTCCTTAATAGAGAGAATTCTTGCTTGTCAAACTATTCCAAAATGTTCATCTTTACTTCAGAATAGTTGACAAATTCAGTGCTGGAATCTCCTACTGCTTTTCGCTTCACACCCTGGTGGTCCACTTGCTCTATTAACTTCACTTTGTCTCTGATTGAAAATATTTTTAATTTTCTAAACAGGTATAGCCATATATACGGGATACTTTCACAGGAAAATTTCAATATTGAATGACGTCTTGCATGCAACTCATGCCGTAGCAGGTCTAACTCCACTCCAATTGATTGGCACAATCCCCCCAACAAGCATTTGTAAATTTGGCTAATCCAGAATTACCATTCTGGGACTTCAGTTTATCATGGGCTTCATTCTACCAGATTTCCTGTTTTGCAAGTGGGAATAACTGACAACTTCACCACAAGTGGAGTTGTGCATTATCCAAATTTGATTAATTGCAATTTCATTGTAACTCCAATCATACATGATCACACTATAGAAGACATCAGCATGTCCAGCGGATATCCCAGACACTACAGCAACCTACTTTTTAATATTTCTGATGTTAAGTTCTAGCAATAATTTCCTAACTTTAAAGTTTGGTGGCTAAGTGAATGGGATCTGTATGGGGTAGTACATATGTGGAATGAACCGTCAGATGAAGTGGTAGATGCAGGAATAGTTACAGCATTTAAAAGATATTTGGACAGGTACATGAATAGGAAAGGTTTAAAAGGGAAATGGAGGCAAATGCAGGCAAGTGAGACTAGTTTGATTTGGGAAACCTGGTTGGCATGGACAAGTTGAACTGGGTCTGTTCCATGCTGTATGACTCTATAACTCTATATTAAAACAAAAATATATATACACTTCCAAGATGGCAGTGCAGTAGAACTCTTCAGCCAGAGCTTGTCCACTCCGTCTGTTTTTTTACCACTTTTTTATCCCTTTAGCATTTTCTTTCCTTCTTTCTTCTCGGTGATGTACTGAACTCTCGGTCTCAGCGTGGACCCAGACTCTCTGCCTCAATACAGACCTAGTGTGGAGGAATCTGGACCCTGCATGGCACTCTTTCAACTCGGTGTGGCATCCTCTTGGTCCAGGGTGGCTGTCTCCCACCCCAGCGTGGCAGTCTCTCAGCAGCCCAGCATGGCCTCAGCCTGGACTTATGGCCTCAAGATGATTCCAGAGCCATCTGCTGGCCTTGACAGCCTCAAGGTGAAGCATGTGTGGTCTGAAGTCAAGGCCCAACATGGACTGGGTTGGAAGGGTGTTATTCTGAACATTTTATGTCTTTATTTTTCTAATTTATTCCTATGATCTGTAATGCTGGACTTTTTATTTCTTTATTTTTCTTTTTCCCTAAAAATTTGTACTAAGAATCTGTACCTAGGTACCTTTGCACCTAAGATGGCGCCATAAGTGGCGACTTGTAAACTTTTCACTGTACTCGTTTGAGTACATGTGACAATGAAGTTAATTCTAATTCTAATATTATGTTGCAGAGTACATTCCCTGTTTCTTATTTGCTGACAGAAGAATTACAGGCAATTATTTGATTTTCAATATAACGTGCATCCATCAGCTACCCATCCTATTCCACATGACTAAAACTTTATAACAGAACAATGATATCATGAAATATTAAATGTTCTACTTAAAGTTCCTGTGGATGTCAGGAAATTTGGTTCCTGATCCTCTGTAGTCATTTTAGAAATATCAAACCACTTTTCATTATCTCTGGCTTAAGTGCCACCAACAACGAGGTATAACTTCTTAAAGAGACTTGAGAAGTTGGGACTTCTTTTCACTGGATCCGAAAAGATTAAGTGTAAAATGACAGAGCTCTTCGAAGTTATCAAAAATTGTAATGTAATACATTGTGACAGATTTCTTGTACTGCTTGGTGAAACAGTAATGAATGATCACAGTTTTAATTTAATCATACATAATTACAAAAAAGGGCTGGAATTGGGTAGCTGCTTGAAAAATGGTAATATTTAATGGCATGCAAACGAGCAGCTTCAGTTTAGATTGTGTTGAGAAAATTATATCTCTGAGCTGTAATACATTCTTTAATTCTGTAGTGATCACAATTTAAACAAAATCAAAATTAGATTGAATAGGATGGATTATGACTCAGTAGATCATTCCCAGAAAAGTTTCAATATACTCAGCATTTTGTGAGACTTACGTGCAGAAATACATACAGAAAGGGGATAATATTAATTACATAAATTTCCTTTGATTAGTTTATTTTGAAGAAAAAAACTAAAAATTTCACTGTGGTTCTTGTAGGGGGCATCTGTAATCCAAGGTATGGAGCAAGTACGATTAGAAAGTGAAGAAACGCCTCAAACCATAGAAAACTGAGCACCAAATCAAAAATCACTCCAAGTCCACCTGCTGAGAAGTTAAGATTTTAGAGCAGAGAAACAGAACTCTTTTAAAAAAAACAAGCTTCCTTCATAACATGTATTTTATATTAATATATTTTAGAAGATCGTATTCCAGCACATCCAGTGAGTTGGCATACATTTTTTTTTTATTAGCAGATTCATTCTCATCTCCATCCCCTTCTGATGTTGTACCTTTCCCTCCTCCCATCAAACCTTTGTTTTGTTTTCAAATAGACCCAATTGTTCTTTGGTGAGTGGAATATTTGAGTAATATTTTACTATGTAGAAGGGCAAGAGCAGGAGATGTACAGGAGCACCACAATTCCCTTCCAAGCTACAGACCATACTGGCTTGAAACTTTACATGATTGTCTGTCAAAATCCTGGAACTCTCATCCAAACAGCAATATAGGTGGTCCTAAAGCGAAAGAATAGCAGCGGTTAAGGTAATGAGCTCACTGCCTTCTCTTGGGCAATTAGGGGATGGGCAATATTTGATGGCCTAGCCAGCCGCCCAAAACCTTTGAGCGAATATTTAAAGTACATACCGGCAGCCATTCTCTTTCCTCATGCAAATCTAGTTCAATCTGTTAGAAACAAGAGGTCTCCTATAAATAAATTTGTATTAATCCAACAATATACAATGCCAGACTGCGAGTTACTCACTCTGCTGTTTTTGACGAGCCTTGTCACAGATAGCTGGTCTGAGCTGCAATTTGCCGCCATTAGGTAAGGTGCAGTTTCTGGCGCAGATCACCACTCCGAGACAGGACTTTTTCAGGATTTGGCAGTTGTGGTTGTTGGTGTTCCTCATGGCCCAACCACTAAGGTGCCTTTGCGCATTTTTATCATCTGCAGTGTAAATATATCGTACATAGCCATCTGTCCATTCCTGGAACGTATCAAACTGCTTTATATCCTGCGAGTTACACACAAATATTGACTTATTTTCAATTGTATAAGGCGGCAGAGAAACAATATTACATGAGAAAAGCAAACGTGACCCTTTTCTGGACCCCATACCACACGCATATTATTAGACCAAATTTAGACCATTATTAGATCAATTTTAGATCTATGTCTTACTTATAAATCTGCAATCTCTCTCTAAAGTAAATCCAAACGATCAAATTGAAATCCGTTTACATGTGCATTATAAGAGCGTGTCTAAAATTTATCGCAAATTTTATTAAATTGCAATTGTTGCAGTTCAGAACATCCGAATCCAGCCCAAAATTGTCGACTTTCTTTTGAAATACATTAGATTTTAAATTATTAAGCACTTTCAAAGGAACGAGCTAAAATCACCCGCCAATAAACCGCAAATGGGCGTTAATATTAAGGCGCAGGAACAGAATCATTTGCTGAAATCCACAGGTCCGGACCTTCCGTTGAAGGGTCACTGGACCCGAAATATTGTCTCTGGTTTCTCTCCACAGATGCTGCCAGACCTGCTGAGTTTCTCCAGCTATTTCTGTTTCTGTTTCAGGTCTGGACAAAAGATCGTCGTCCTCAGAACGACTCTGATTCTGTCTCTACCCCATAAATTATTTATTTCAAAATGTTTCCAGTTTAACTTTTGAAATTGAATTGAAAAAAAATCATTAAAATAATGTTCATTAAGATGAATACAACATGCACAATCTATTTTTTATTTCAAACAAAGAAGCACAAGAAAAAGCAAGACTATTCCAAATTGATCTTTCCAGCCTGCTCGACCAACTTCAAGGATTTCAAAATTCGTTTGAGGAACGACATTTGACTATAACTTCTACCATTCTGTGTAGAAATACCACATTTGAGCGCGTTCTCCTACAAGACAAATGTTTTACAAAAAAGTTACCTGGGGCAGTTTGGGGTCGTTAATGTCCCAGGTGATTTTCATCCCGTAAGAACACACGCAGTCGGTATCTTGGTACTGGTCCCCTTTGGACATCTTGTCTCTGGGCCAGGAATCAGCTCCGCTCAACGACACAAGGTGACATGGGCTGGCGTAGGACTCCACTAGCTCTCCGGTTCATGTACTGCACAAAATAAACGGCAGGGTGAAGGAATCGTCAAAGATGCTAGAGGTATGAATTAACAGAAGCAAAGTAAACACGGAATGAGAAAATAAAGTAAAAAAAAAAGTTTGACAGGAAGTGCCCGTGCTCACGGAAACCAACTTAGGCATTTGTATCCCATTTGATGCCGCGGGGAGCGCAAAAGATTTCGCTGCACCGCGCCGCTTTGCGGCTCTTTATCTGAAACCTTGAATAAGTAAAGACGTTCTGAACACTCCCTACATCCCCGGTTAACCTCGCGCTGATTCAGGATACACGCTCTTTTTGACACAGTTGGATAGGATTTGAACACCAGCACTAGCTTTCATGTCAGGTGAACCGTGTTGGTGACCTGCGAAAATAGCCTGTTCTAATCTACACGTAGACACTCAGTTAGTCAAACATGACCCGCCTGCCAGTGTCTCAAATATAGCAGCCTCCAAAGACATAATCAGCCGCAAATTGAACAGGAATTAACCACAAATTCAAGGTTAGATCCCACATCAAAACAAAGTCAGCAGAGATCTTGAAATGACCATGTAAAAACATTTGTAATAAACATTTGTAAACTTGCCTTACTGGAATTCTGATACCATACGATTCCTTAAGAGGTGAAGTAAAAAAACATTATCAGCACGAAAGTGATCACGTCCTCCCAAACCGTCTGTCTAATACGGACAATACACAGGTGTTATGATGTGGGTAGAACATATGGTGAATTTTAGGCAAACGTTTAGATACTGTGAAAGTATCAATGAAAATGAATGTCCGTTCATTTCACCGTAGATCAAAGTGAACTTCGAGGTGTGTAACTGATTGTTGGGGCGTTTCAGGTTGTTTTATAGGTTATTTTGAACTGGAGATGACACAGTACATCCTAGTCATCGCGTACTTGTATTTTTGTTACTTGTGAATCTGAGTTCGGTGAGAGGGATAAGACTTGGGATGCAGTTTGATACAAGCTAAAAAGGCAAGAAATGGGGTTATTTCCACAGTTAAACGTTTACCTTCGTTGGAAGTTTTATAAGGTTGGATATTGATTTTTAGTTCAAACATTGCGATTAAAAAATTGTGAATTAAATTTCTGCAAATTGCTTGTCAACTGAGAACTAGTATTTTAAAAATCGGGGTACGTAATAATTAGAATATTTAAATAATATCAATCGGGGTCAAGTGAAGATGAGGTGGAAAACATTCCTCATGCACGACGTTGTGCATTTTGAAAGTACAGGGTATTTTGCCCTTTCCTTTATTTATATAACAACATTGCTAAACACTGCTTCACTTTGTCTCATTAAAGAGGGAACCTTTCCGAGTGTAATGGATCAAACAGAGAAACAGGCAAACCCGTTGTCTAATTGTTTTGTGTAAACCTCGTAGATTTTTCAGTTTAAGATTCAGAAAACCTGTCTGACGTAGTAGCCAAACTTGTTCCTACACTTGATTTTGGTAGAACATTTATTAATTAGTCTGCATATCTGAATGAAACCATGGTCTATTCACGATTTCTTTAGCCACTAGCCAGCACTGCTTGGCCGGTTAGGTCAGTTGGCTGAACAACTGGTTTGTGATGTAGAGTGATACCAACCCCAACAGTGTGGGTTCCATTCCTACACCAGCTGAAGTCACCACAAAGGACTCTCCTCTCCAACCCGTTCCTTTGCCTGAAGCATGGTGACTTTCGTGTCAAATCACCACTAGTCGTCTCCAATGAGAGAGCAGGACGACGGAGATTTTATTTTTTAAAACCGAACATTGAGGTTACATTTAAAATATATGAGAAAAATATTCGTCACGAACGTTAAACAACCCCGACCCCAGCCCACGTCCTACTGGCACGAAAAAGTTGACCAGGAAAAGGAAGTCAGAGCGCTAACGTCAGAACATTTCATGATCTGAGCTCTCTGCTGGTCTAATCGCCGATTTTCTTCACAGAAATCTGCACACTTGACATAAAAATAAATAATTATTTACCTCAAAAATACTGATTATTAATAAATAGATACCAAACAAAATAACAAACAGTACTCACACCAAATTGAACCAAAGTTGAACCCAAGATAAAATCAATATTGGCCAAGAAATTTAAACCGATACTGACCCCAAATTAAACCAGTAGTGAGTATATGAACGGACCCCCCGACCCACCCCGCTACTGGAACTAAATTCCTAAAAGATCCCTCCTTGTTTAGCCACACAATGGAACACAGCACACAATCTTAACGTGCATCCAAAATATTTTCATTGGAAAGTGTTTTTTTTTAAAAAATAGTCCATTTGCCAAATGCCACAAACATCCAAGCTCTTTAGGATTCTAACCATTTGTCTAACTCTAATTCGGGAGTACACTAGGTTGGAAAACACCGTTTTTGGTCTTCGTCGCATTAGTTAAATAGCATCGAATCAAGTTGACAAAACAATAGCAAAACAAGGAAGTCTTCTTGAAAGAGAAAGAAAAAGCTCCTTCAAAGAAATGTTCAAGAAAGTGATGTAAATTTGATATACAGTAAACTGCCACCCTGCTCAAACCTGACGTAGATGTTGTGAATATTAAGAATTATTAATAATTCTTGTACATTGATGCCCTAATACTTTCAAGAGTTAGGAATTCTGTGGTATTTTAAATTCTGGAACAATCAAATTAGTCGATAAATGAAGCAGCAATAAGCTTTTAAGAACTTATGACAGTTACCGAAGAGCGAAGTAAAGGCAGTTTCAAACCGCACAGTTACAAACGAAATAAATACCTCTAAAATACAAATTGAACATATCGCTATCGTAGTAATATCGCATCAAACGAATAGGGGAAAAAAAAGCAAATCAAGATTTTACCGAACGTGAAATGTTTGAAGAACTGAATTGTGGCGACAAAATTGTAACTGGCAACATGAAAAAGGAAGCTTAAGAATTCCATTAAAAGCTTTCAAAACTATTTCGAAATAAAATCGTTCTGTATTTCAGCTTTAGCATAAAGTATTGAGTCACATCAGTTAGATATTTATTTTTCTAAATAATTTAGGACCCTGGAGCCAAAACAAAGTTCCAAATAGTGTGTAGGCAACGATAATAATTAACGACACAGTCAATTGTTGAAATTATATTATCAAAAGAAGTAAATTAAAATGTTCCCCAGCTGAGATAGATTAATATCAGTACAGGGTGTTTTGGTTTGTTAGAAGTTTAGAGGTTCATTCCATCAATGAAAAGAAATCAAATGACAAACTTGAGAAAGGATGTACTGGCACTGGAGGGGGTGCAAAGGAGGTTCACTAGGTTGATTCCGGAGTTGAGGGGGTTGGCTTATGAGGAGAGACTGAGTAGATTGGGATTATATTCATTGGAATTCAGAAGATTGAGGGGGGATCTTATAGAAACATATAAAATTATGAAGGGAATAGATAAGATAGAAGTAGAGAGGATGTTTCCACTAGCAGTTGAAGCTAGGACAAGAGGGCATAGCCTTAAGATTAGAGGGAGCAGACTTAGGACTGAACTGAGAAGGAATTTCTTCACCCAGAGGGTTGTTAATGTGTGGAATTCCTTGCCCAGTGAAGTAGTTGACGCTACTTCAGTAAACGCTTTTAAAAAAAGGTAGATTTTTTTTGAACAATAAAGGAATTAAGGGATTCGGTGAGAACGCGGGTAAGTGGATCTGAGTCCACGAAAGGATCAGCCATGATCTTATTGAATGACGGAGCAGGCTCGAAGGGCCAGACGGCCTACTCCTGCTCATGGTTCTTGTGTTCTTGTGTTCTTGTAAATCTTCAAGGATTGGAATTTTCTCTAAAATTAGCTAAGTTAATTAAAGGTTTGTATACAATATTTTTACTTACATCATATACTTTAACCCTCATTGCTGTGTTATTTTAAATGAAAGAAAATTATGAGGAACATGTTTTTGTATGCTCCTTTCCAAATCACACAAGTAAGAAAATAAGTGGAAAAGAATAACACATTGAAGAATTTAGATGACCTCAAAACTGTGAGAGTAAAACTTCAGCAATGAACAAAGAACAATACAGCACAGGAACAGGCCCTTTGACCCTCCAAGCCTGCGCTGACACATTTTGTCCTTCCATATTAAAACTTTGTTCATTTACAGGATCCATATCCCTCTATTCCATATTTCAGGTATTTGTCCAGGTGTTTCTTGAATGCTGCTATTGTGCCTGCTTCTACCACCTCTGGCAGCGCGTTCCAGGCACTCACCACCCTTTGAGTGAAAAACGTGCCTTGCACATCTTTTAAAATTACCCCCATACCTTGAACCTAGTAATTGACCCCTCCACCCTAGGAAAATGCCTCATACTTTCCACTGTATCCATGCCATTCATAATCTTATAAATTTCTATTAGGTCACCCCTCAACCTCCTGCACCCCAGTGAAAACAAACCCACTCTATCCAATATTTCTTCATAGCTAAAATCCCCCATACCAGGCAACATCCTGTTTTCTGTGCCCTCTCCAAAGCATCCACATCCTTCTGGTAGCATGGTGACCAAAACTGTACACAATATTCCAAGTATGGCTTCTAACTAAAGTTCTGTAAAGCTACAGCATAATTTACCTATCCTCTTACCCAATAGCCCTTCCAATAAAGGCAAGTATGCCATAGGCCTTTTTTTGCTATCTTGTCTACCTGCGCTACCACCTTCAGTGATCTGTGGACCTGCACACCCAGATCTCTCAGCATATCAATACTCCTAAGAGTTCTACCATTCACTGTATAATTTCCATCGGTACTTGACCTTCCAAAATATTTCACCTCACATTTGTCTGGATTAAACTCCATCTGCCATTTTTCTGCCCATGCCTTCAACTGACCTATATCTTGCTCTACCCTTTGATAATCCTCCTCACTATCTGCGACTCCACCAATCTTTGTATCATCTGCAAACTTACTAAGTAGACCAGTCAGGTTTTCCTCTAAATCATTTACATAGACCATGAACAACAGAGGTCCCAGGATTGATCCCTGTGGA